CTGGGCAGCTCAGTCGGTTAAGTGTCTGCCTTGGCTCAGGCCATGATTCTGGGGTCCTGGGATCGAGTCCCTAGTTGAGCTCCCTGCTCAGCAGGGAGCCTGCTTCTCCCTCTGCTGGCCACTCCCCCTGCTTGTGCGTTCACGTGCTCTCTCTGATGAATAAATAAAATCATAGATAGATAGATACTCTGCTATACTAAATTTGAACGACTTGGCCAGATATTCACGACCTTTCCTGTCAGATAACCTTTGTCTGTAGAGCATCTTGAAAGAATATATAAGCCAAGAGTATTTTCAGTCAGTGAAACAAAGTAAAAGTATCTTCTCATATTAAAGCTATCGGCTTCCCGAATAGAAAATGTTGTACAAAAAAAGTAGATCAAGAAAAAACAAGTTGAATTGACCAAGTGTGCTTTAAAGTGTCCCCTAAGTTTGAAAACCCCTCCTTACCCCAGCTGAAGACGGGAAGACAGAAGCCAGCTGTGTTCATGTAACACTCATGTTTGAGGTAGGGGAGACCAAAATAGGTCTCAAAGGGGTCCCGGGGCTCTAACATCAGCAAAGATTGGGAATCTGTTAGAAACACACATTTCCAGATCTGGGCTAGGGGGTGTGGGAGAGGTGGGCAGCAATCCCTCCAGATGATTCTGACCCCTGCCAGTGTGCAAACTGGATGTCAAGGTTAGAAGTCTAGCCTCTGTGGTCAGAGGGTTTGAATACTAGGGCCTATCCCTGGTAAATAGGATGACTTTGGACAAGTTACTTAATTTGTCTCTTCTTTAATTTCCTCAGCTGTAAAATAAGGACAGTACTCATCCCTAGCTCACCGGAACACTGGTGGTAAGAGGATACATGCAAAGGTTTGGCAATGTGCTTAACAAATACTAAGCACTCAGTAAGTGTGACCCATTATGTTCTCTGCTATGGAGATTTGCTTTTAGTTCAGTTTACTCAACTGTTGATTTGCTTAGCATTTATTGAGCATTTCCTACAAACCAGACTCAGGGCACTGAGTAACACAGCATTTTGACCTAGCTACCGCGCGTCTCCGTCCTGACTGAGTGCCGATGAAATCCCACCACAGGAGGCCTACTTCCAAAAACATCAAGGATCTCCGATGGGTGGCCCCAAGCTTGGATAAGTTTGAAAAAGCTACTCAGAAAGTTTTAGTTTCTTCCAAAGGAAGTAGCAGACCTGTAAACAAGAATTATAGCCCCAAGCCCAAGGAGCAGAGGCTGCATGTATGTACATGATCCCAGAGAAACTTCTGGAAGGGGTGCTTTGCCCAGCAAGCTTTCCTTTGGGCTTATATATTCCTCTCCGGCTTTACTGACCTTCATAGGAAGCACAAATCCTGTTTTTCTCAATCCTCAGGGCTTGCCCCCTTTGCCAGACAAAGAGTGGTACAGAAGGAAGTATGGCAGTGTAACGAGCATGAGTGCTGTTTTTAGGATTGGGCCCTCCCAGCTCCGGGAAGCCTGAGCACCGTGTTTCAGGACAGACGAGTAATTATACAGCCATAGTCTCCTCTGTAACCAACTCCTATAAATGCAGATGTGCGCTTCCCTGCATAAATTGCCCAAGCTCCAAGGCCAGACATAATGGTTTCACACACCAGTTTCCAAGGGGAGGAGCAACAGGGGCAAAGCTTTTAAATTAATTAAAAGAGACACTCAGGCACACTTCATGCCATTCTTTAATCTCCACTCTCCTGTGATAAATATAGAATGACAGGTCCAGGCCCAGGCTAATGAGTAGAAGGCAGGACCCTATGGAGACTCGCCAAGCAGCCCTCGGAAGCACGGCAGCAGGGCCCAGGGCTCAGCAAAAGGAAGAAGAAAATCAGCACCCTGCCTCAGCTGGGTCACTGATAGGTCACCAGAATGCTCTGAAGAGTTCCCATTGGACATAGGATCTTCCGCTTCCTTGACTAGCAGCAGTTTAAACAACAGACAAAAGGAAACAGCATGTCTTACATTAAAAGGTCAGAGAGTAATAGCAGTTAAGATTTATTGATGGTTTTCTAGTGTCCAAAGAGGCACTGTGCTAAGGGCTTCTCTTCATTTAATTGTGGTGACCAGCTTCCCAAACAGTCCTCACACCCCCTAGCCTACACGCCCTCACCACACACTCCCCTCACACACTGAGTCAGAGCTGGCACATGCGACCGATAGACAATTCCAGAAGAAACAGTCTGTGACTTCTGAGCTTAGATGAAAGAAGATGTCACCACTTCTAACATGATCTCTTGGATCACCAGCCCTGGGGGAAGCCAGCACCACCTCAAGAGGACACTGGGGCTGCCCTGTGGTGAGGCCAATAACTAGGCCACTCGCGAGTGAATCCTCCAGTGGTGGCCAAGCCTTTGAGTCATCCAGCTCAAGCCCCAGACACCCCAGAAAGAGAAGCCATCACTGCTGGGCCCTCAGTGCCTGACCCGCAGAACCCATGAGGCAATTGTTTCAAAAACTACGTCCTGTGATTTGTTACACAGCGATAGCTAACCAATACGTAAGCACCAGATATGCTTATTTTATAGTTGAGGCGAGTTAAAGTGATTCACTCATGGACACAGTGGGTGAAGCAATGGGGATCTGCATCCAGGTTGGCGGACTTGAAGTTCTAGTTCTCATTCTGTCCTCTTACTCCCGACAGATAAACCTAAGTTGTGCGATTGATTTCCCATCCCTTTTGTTAAGGGAAAAGCAACTACTTAATAGGAAACTTTTTAACCCTTGAGTTGTTCCAAGAGACTGTGTCCACCTGCCATGGCACTCACCCACTTCCGCCTTGAATTTTAGCCATTTCTCTATGGGTAGAAGTTCCTGGAAGGCTGGAACAGAGGGTCTTTCTTCTGATAGTGCTCGTCAGTAGCAGAGCGTGAGGGCAGGAGGCCGTGTCGATCCCACAGACACCGTCCACCTGCCTAAATGTCTGGTAGCTCCGCTCTACCACTTTCAGGCTGCGTGATTTTAGGCAAGTTGTCTAAATTTCAGGAGCTACCGATTCCTCACTCTGAAAATGACCAATATTCATACACATACTTTTGTTCACACTGCATTACAAACATACTCAAAGTAGGAGCACATCTACCTGGCACACAGGAAGGGCTCCATAAAAATGTGACCTACTTGAATTATCAAATAGGTGTTGAAAAACACCGAACATTTTAAATGCCCAGGCAAAAGCTCTTCCCTCAACCTTTTCTCATACTTCCAAAGAAAGGGCAATGGTTCTTGGGGGGTGGGTAGAGATTTCACTCTATGGGCTGGTCAGCATGTTATGCCTTGACCATGGTTCATACCAGATCCCAGGCTGCCCTTCTGGAGTGAGGAGAGGGTCAGGAAAAGCTGCCATCTGTGTGAACCATCCAGTGGGACACGTGCACATGTCCTGTCTGGCTCTTTCTTGCAAGAAGAAATGGAAGGCGAGGACGGTCTGCCTCTCCCTGGCCTGATGAACAGAAGTGGACAGGGACTTTGCTTCCATCCTGCCTCTTAATCCCACTGCACTCTTATCATTTTGTCAGCCTGGACAACAGGCATTCTAATGCCTTCTCATGTGGCACACCCTTCTTTGGTGTTGGAGCTAACGAGCTGTCAAGTGTCTACTGTCCCCTCAGGTGATTTCTACTCAAAGGCTATTTGGAGTCTCACCTCCCTTTGAACTTAGCTTTAGGGAACTCTCTCTCTTTCCCTCCTCTCTTTTTTTCTGTTATGTCTGAAAGAGTCTTCTATGTAAAATTCTCTTTGGGTCCCAAACGTTGCCACAACCCTCCACTTCTAGGTAAGAGTGAGAAAAGGGAAACGGGGAGAAACCGACCACTTTCACCACCATCTCACAATAAGCACAAATTCCTGGCATTGCCAGGTGCTGGGTCAGGTTCTCTGGGGGATAGGAGACCCCAGCCCTCACCCAGTGTAACAGAGGAGTATGATTAAAATATTGACAGCTAGGAAACAAAGAGCCAAGGGAAGGATGCCATGTGTAGCAGAGACAGAAGGCCCAGGACAGCCGAGGAAGGAAAGAGCGGACAGGGGAGGACAACGGAGACTGGAAGCCGTGGGCCTTGGGCGTGTGTCCTGAAGAATGGGCCAGTGGCCGCTAAGGTGGTGGGGAAGGGCAGAAAGAGACCCCCAGGCAGACGGAATGAAAAGGGTGAAGGCAGGAAAGCATAAGACAGGTTCACACAATGCTATGGATTTAAAGGGAAGGAGAGGTGGGACTGCAAAAAATAAAATACATGAGGGGAGAAACCCCTGGCAATAATGAGCAATCAAGACTTCCACAAAAGATAAAGGTATCTTTGTAGATTACAGCGCAAACTGGAGACATGGGGATTTCACGAAGAAGTAACATCGTTCTCAGTGATCGTGACCATAAAACCCTGAGACTAAAGACGTAGGTCTTCAAAGGAGGCAAGGTCAAGTGGACAGGCGGACTGCTCTTCCCCACACTTAGGGACATTCCCCTCACTGACAGTTTTTGCTTGAACCACTGAACACTCACTTTCCAACTCATTTTATCCTTAGTTTAAAATATTATTCTCCTTAGCTTTTATCAAGGATTATCTCCTGTGGGCAGGCACCTATCAGATGACCTAAGTCAGGGCAAGGTCATTTCAATAAATCCAAGGAGCCAGTATCCACTACCCAGTCTGGTTTCAAGGCAGAGAAAACGGGTATCAGAGAGGAACAGGATTGTTGGTAGGTCTAAGGGTATCTGTCTGCACCTCAGTATATCCTTCTATCCCCTGGCTCAGATTTAGAAAGCCACACAGAGTAAGCTCTCAAACAGAAGTTCTGTAAGTCCCAAATCCCTTCTCTTCCTTCTTAGAACCAAAGAGCTAAGTTCCAAAAAGATCCAGAAAATAGCACGAGTCATCAAGCAATCTCCCGTGGCGGGTCTGGAAACAGGAAAATGTCCCCTCGAACTGCTTCTGTGTCCTCCCAGACCCCAAAGACGTCCCCTGCACAACACCGCCCCAGGCCAGGCCTCACCATATACCACATGCTCGGCCACTTGGGATCGTTGAAGTAAGTCGGCTGGGCACGACTGAAGTCATAATCCCTCTTTGTCCGTTTTTTTACCACTTGCTGTTGGATCCACTCCACCTGCCAAGAAGAAGGACATGTGGTGAGTGTTCAAGTTCCACCAGGGTTAGCACAACACAAATGACAGTCGGGGGCAGGTCCCCTCCTGAGCCAAGGCTGTTCAAGTCACAGACTTTGGGCCGGCAGCTCGATGCTCAGTCTAGGGGCTCTGAGTCTCCGGAGACCTCGTTCGCCTTTATTCTCAACGCAGGTCGACTTTCTAGTCTTTAATGACAGGTCATCCCTATCTCTCAACAACATGCTAACTTTTTAGCTTCTTCAGAAAGTGTATTCTATTCAAAATTTGTTGCAAATTATGTTAATTTTTTTAAAAAAGATTTTATTTATTTATTTGACAGACAAAGATCATAAGTAGGCAGAGAGAGAGGAAGGGAAGCAGACTCCCTGCTGAGCAGAGACCCCGATGTGCGGCTCCATCCCAGGACCCTGGGATCATGACCTGAGCCAAAGGCAGAGGCTTTAACCCACTGAGCCACCCAGGCACCCGATCATGTTAATTTTTATACTAATTTTTTTTTTCCCCTTCTATGAAGGATCAACATACTTTTTCTAGAAAGGTCCCGGTCAGAAATGCTTTAGGCTTTGAAGGTCATAGGATCTCTGCTGTAACTACTCTTCCTGCTGTCCTACACCACAGACACACATAAACGAACAGGTGGGACGACGTTCCAGTAAGTTTACTTAGAGAAGCAAAGGACAGTCTGGATGTGGCCCAGGGGCCACAGTTTATGACCTTTGCCTTAGACTACACACACATTTTTTTTTTTTTAATGTTCTGGGATTACACAGTAAATTTTAAACCTATCCTGGGATCAAATGTTATAGGTTACCTTTTTTTTTTTTTTTTTTTTTTTAAAGAAATGGCTTTCTACAACACGGTTTGGTGCAAAAAGCAATATTTGGGAAATTAGACAACCAAAGCCCCAAAGCGTCTATGGCACTAAATTGGAGAAATCACTCAATTGCCTGAGCCAAAGGCTCTGTGCCAGCTCAAATTCAAACCTACCACCCTTGAGCAACTCAGAATATTTAGCCACAAATTTGGCTGAAGCAAAGCAATTGAGCACTTCTGAGTTTAATACCGAATTGTAACCTAAATATTAGGGCTACGTATGGGGGCACTTATTTAAAAACAGGTCATTACTATGGCAACATAAAACTAAGCATGTCCTTTTTTTTTTTGGTTAAGATTTTATTTATTTATTTGTCAGAAAGAGAGAGGAAAGAGCACAAGCAGGGGGAGCGGCAGGCAGAGGGAGAGGGAGAAGCAGGCTCCTCTGCCCCCACTGAGCAAGGAACCTGATGTGGGACCCGATCCCAGGACCCTGGGATCATGACCTGAGCCAAAGGCAGAGGCTTAACTGACTGAGCCACCCAGGCGCCCCAAGCATGTTCTATTTTGACTGGTGCCTCTGAAATGACCTATCGGCCCTGGTAGCCTTCTACAATTTGTTTCTAAGTTCTCCTGTGTTCGATCGCTCCTGCCATTTTAGCCACAATACTCTAAAATGTTCTGTTCCACCATTTATCCCTCCTCCACACAAAGGGATTAAAAATTGAGGGCAGGGAGATTTTGTAGTGCACTAGCGATTCCACATCCATCCATTGAGTAAAAGTCTCCAAACCACTTTTGCCCACTTGATTAAAGATCGCTGGAGGAGAAGGGCTACTAAGGCACTGATTAACGGGCTCTAAATGCACTGCTCGACACAAGGTACTAAGGCCAAAAGCCAAGCTAATAAATTCCTCGGATTCTCATATCGGGAAATATATTCAACGAGACTTCTGATACGCAAGACGAATTTAAATAGCCAGTTCCTAGTTATAGCACTAACAAAGCAAATGGAATCACACGGCCTCCTAAATAAATAAAAAATCCATTTATGATTAGGATCGCAGCTAAGCACCATCTATGTGCCGTCCGCAACAGGTAATATAGGCAACATTATCAGGACAGCAAAAAAGCCAATAAACGAAAAATAATATTCTAGGAAATGAAAGCTGCTTCCACTCCTGTTTTAATTAATGTGAATTAAGTGACTCCCTAGCACTGAACCATTCTCCACACCACCACCCCCAACACACACACCTGTGCGCACTGGGGAGAAGGGATTGTGTATCTTTCTTTGAACCACTGGACCACGGCTGTTAGGGAAGCAAAGAAGGATCTCGTTTTTTTCCTGGACTTGAGAGACTGCTCTTTAGAAATCACATCGAGACTAATGCAGCATTAACAATGCATGTAAAATTTTTTCTCAATGAAGAGGGTAATGTTTAAGTGACCAGGCTTCTAAAAATACAGGCGAAAAAAATCAATTTCTTTCTCAACGTGGAGCGGCACGTACGGGCATGCATGCACTTTTTCTATTTCCAGGAAACATTTTAATCTCTTCCTTTCAAATAATCTTGCTATGGAAGGTGTTTCATTCGCCCACTTACTCATTCAATGAGCATTAAGTGTCTATTCGGCACCGACACTGTGCTGGTAATATGAAGACGAACAAAAACAGTCTTCGGCTTTGAAGAACTTAACATTTTACCAAGAAAGATTTAGCGAATATTCCTGGGGCGCCTGGGTGGCTCAGTGGGTTAAGCCTCTGCCTTCAGCTCGGGTCAGGATCTCAGGGTCCTGGGATCGAGGCCTACACCGGGCTCTCTGCTCAGTGTGGAGCCTGCTTCCCCCTCACTCTCTGCCTGCCTCTCTGCCTACTTGTGATCTCTCTCTCTCTCTCTCTGTCAAATTAAATAAATAAATAAATCTTTTTATTTTATTTTATTTATTTATTTTGACAGAGAGAGAGAGAGATCACAGTAGACAGAGAGGCAGGCAGAGAGAGAGAGAGAGGGAAGCAGGCTCCCTGCTGAGCAGAGAGGCCGATGCGGGACTCGATCCCAGGACCCCGAGATCATGACCTGAGCCGAAGGCAGCGGCTTAACCCACTGAGCCACCCAGGCGCCCCTAAATAAATAAATCTTAAAAAAAAAAAAAAAAAAAGCGAATATTCCACAATTCTCCACTTCATAAAAATGTAGTTATCATCATGAATGACGCCCATCGCTCTATTAATTAGAGCATTTGTGAAAATTTTGACCAGGCGTATTCTACGTGCAATCCTTACGTTGCCGTCTGAGGCGTATCCCAGTTGAGATTCAACTTGTACATGTTTGCGCGCGTGGTAAAAGAAGGCTGCAGATCTGTGTAAATGGAACGCTTTCCAAACTACTCCTACATTGGCAGTGGCTCTTCCTAACAGAGCCTCCATAAATTCTGAATCGCCACCTAGATGTGCACCGAAACCAGAAAGTGTCAAATCCCAGGGCGTCATCTCAAACGGAGTGCTGGAGAGCAGAACCAGTCTACGCTGGGGTGGGGGGTAGGGGTGCGTCTCGTTGTGTACCATTGTTTCGGCAACAACCCTGGAAGTCGGCGCTTCCCAGAAGCACACACGTACACACAGACAAATGTGGGATAAGTATGTGAGAAAACCAAGTGACAGCCATTTTCCGAGATGAACTGCAGGTTCAAAAATAGAACAAAATATCTTACAGAACAGCATCCCTTCTGTAATTTAACCAAACAAAAGTGCTTAGTTACAGGCTTGGTGGCTGGAAGGTGGCACGCACGTTGGCATCTAGATCTGACTACAAGTCACTCCGTCTGATCACAGGGCTGAAATAGGCAAGAAAAGTACAGTGGTTTTTTTGTTGTTGTTGTTTTGTTTTGTTTTGTTTTGTTTTAGTGTCAGATATCATGTATTTTGTCTTGGTGCTTTATGAGTATAAGTAGATGGCCCTACATATTTTGGAAAGTGGGAAAAACACCTCTTGGATCGGAAGATTTCTATGAGTGGAAAGACTAGCTTTATATTTTTAAGCCATTATCCATATGCCTGTCCTTGAGCCCTTTAAGAAAAAGCTCAGAGGTAATGCATTACACAGATTTCACTTTTTGCCAAGAGGCCCCAATGCATAGAAAAGATGCTTAGAAATTCATTTTCATAAAACTAGGGCCAGCCCAGGAAAATATGAAAACTGTGTGCTTTCCCCCATTGGTTTAACTTCGGAAGGTTCTATTTCTTGTATATGAAGGAACTACAGATAATCCAGACCACAAAAACCACAGGACCTCTGAAGTCATCAGTGTATCCTCCACGAACTTCGACATACGTGCGCTCCATGGTTTTAAGGACACTCCCTCCCTCTACCAACACAGCTCTCCTCCCCATATGACCCAAGTGAACAGGGGGCATCCGCCTCACCAGAATCTTTGTCGAAAGGGGTTTTCTTTCATCAGATATCACGTGTCAAGCAAAGCACATTAAGTGATCATTCTGGGAAACCTACCCTCCCCTCAACCATCTCAGTTGAGCTTCTATCCCATTATTTTGCAACTTAACAACTTTCTGAAATAGGATAAAAAAGAAGTTCTAGGAATACAGATTATGGAAGTTACTATATAAATATACTTGGAAAACAAATTGTGATAGCACAAAAAAAGACAAATACTGCATGTCATCACTTATATGCAGACTCTTAAAAAAAAAAAAAAAAAAAAAAAGCCAGACTTGTAGAAAGAGTAAGAAAGGGATTTGCCAGAGGAAGGGGAGTCGTGTCTCAGGATCTAGTGTATGACTGAAGATTGAATAGAATGGTGATGACAGTTGATAACACTGGGTCCTATAATTGAAATCTGCTAAGGAAGGAGAACCTAAATGTTCTCACCAAATAAAAAATAAAATAAAAAATAATTAGTATATGTCTATATACACACACACATACACACACACACATACACACACACATATGGTGATAAATGTCAATTAACTAGATGGAGGAAATCCTTATATTTTATACATATAAATATATATATATTTATTTATATACATATATGATCATATATATATATAATCACTACAATATACACTTTAAATACCTTACAATTTTCTATGTTGATTATGCCTCAATAAGGCTGATTTTTTTTTTTAAAAAGTGCCACTTTA